GCTGGGTTTAGGTCAGTGCTAAACAAAATGTGGTTTTTGATTTTTTTTTGGACGTGGTTTTCCATCAAGTTACAAGTGGTATCAGTGAGGCACTGGGCTTTCATGTAAAACCACCAGATGGAAGCAGAGTTAACACTGCACAGACCTTTACGCTATCCCATGGTGAAAAGAAACTTAAAAGGGCCCATGTCATGGCCATTTCCACTGATCATAATTACATTGTTGAGGTATACTAAAATAGATTTATACTGTGCAATTTTCCAAACTCACATTGGTTTCGCATACAGCATCTCTGTAAAGTATGTGTATTCAGCAGTATTCACTCTCTCCACTAAACGACTCGTTGGAGCTCTTGCCCCCCCCTCCCTGAGGCTCCGCCCATGTCTAACAGTGCTTTTTTCGGCTCGCTCTCAGAACATCAGTCTTATAATGGCGTCGGTACAGCCGTATATTTTATACGCTAACTAACCAAACTGTACCTACAACTGTTGTTATAGAAGAGTGTAACGGCCCCAGGGCCTTTGTGCAGGTGTGTTGCAGGTCTTACGATGGGGTGGAGCTGAAGAGGCTAATCAGCGCGATCACGGACACCTCGACGGAGGTGCTATTAAGCCCAGCTGCCCGGAGTCACATAGCGGCCCCTGTCTCTCTCCAAAGCGGCTGCAGAAGGACGAACTCGGCGATCCTCTCCCCTCGACCACCTATCTCTGCATTTACCACAATAAATGTGCCGTGGTTTTGTAAACTTGTGTATGTCTCCTTGTCTTTCCGTTGTGGCCTACGAGCCGGTCATAACAAAGAGTAAGTTATTTTTACCTGTAATAAACTACTACTGTTTGATGAGAAATCAAATCATGGTTTGCTAAATATGAATGATATGTTATAGGAGCAAATAATTCAGGGAAGAAAGGATAGGCCTACTAAGTATTTCCATCAAACTTTATTTTTAGAAATGTACAAAATGAACATAAATATACATATGTACACGGTATATCATCCATTCCTCCCCGTTGTCGGCATCTTGCCTGGGCGCAGCCGGGGCTTTTTAGGACGAGGCCTCAGTGTGGTAGTCCCGTCCCCGTGATGTATTTTCCGCCAGGATCTGGCTGGACGAAATCAAATGCAAATCACAAAATATTAGAGAAACTTAGTTGTTTTAGATTTGTTAGTAGTAGTTGTGGTAGGAGTGTGGATCTATCGAATCCATCTATATAATCAACACAGTAAGCTTGCCAGCTAATATGCTAACCTAGCTTTCTTGTTTACCTTAGTAAACACGATATGAACGTTAGCTCGGAGGAACGGCAACTATAATGGAGTGTAATAAAACTACTATGAACAAAAGCTAGTGGTTCATATTAGGCTAGCAATAACGTGTTTATAATTGCAATCTTATATGGGTAGTCTGCAGAGATGGGGTCGTTACTACAAAAAAGTAATATATTACATATTACATATTACTTTAAAAAAAAGTAATATATTACACTACTTCGTTGCTCTCTACATAAAGTAACTTGTTACTTTACTCGTTACTTTACTCGTTACTTTACTCGCAGGGCCGGCCCGCCCCTCCCTACAGGCAGATCAGGCAGACTGCTAAAGTTTGAAATGTTCTCTTTAGTTCAGTTTCCATTGTCGCATAAGACTGATCCAGATAGCTCTGACTATGGCTGTCCTCTGTCTCCTGCTATCTGTATTTTGCGCAGCATATCTCTGAACGATGTGATGGTGATTCCACCGTGCAAATGGGCAACATGTTCTCTACTATGAAGGATGCTACAAGCCTGTCCATCTCTGCTTTGGTTACCGGTAATTGTTGCTGCTTCGGAGTCGGCGGCGGCGCACTCACAACATCCTCACTCTGGGTTCGGGGGTCCTTAGCTATTAGCTTCACCTTAGCATGTGTTCTTTGCAGGTGTTTGTTGAGGTTTGACGTGGTGTTTGCAGCAGTGGATAACAGCTTCTGGCCTGGACACAGTTTGCACCTCACCGTCACATTCCTGTCTATTCTTCGGACAAACTCAAAATAATGGGCATACCTCCACCCAAGGGTGTAACTTTGGTTTGAGAAGTGGGGGGGACACAAAACAGGGGGTCCTCCGCAATGAAACATTTTCTCGATTTAATTCCATTTCCTGCCTTTCTACAAATATATTAGGGACTATAGTGTTAACAAATCCAAGAAAAATGTGTAGTGTATATAATGAGTGTGCACACTTATCTAGTATCCTATCCATGTGAACCTGTTTTACGACAGGAGAGAGCTCTCCCTCTCCTTATTGTTGAAACAGCTTCTAATCTCCGTTAGCTCCGGGCTAGCACCAGATGCTAACAACAACCCACGTAACTCTCTCAGTCTCTCTCTCAGTCTCTCTCTCTGTCTCTCTGTCTCTCTCTCTCTATATATTTGTCTGTCTCTCTCTCACTCTCTCAAAGTCCGACAGGAAAGAGCTCTCCCTCTCCTTATTGTTGAAACAGCTACTAATCTCCGTTAGCTCTGGGCTAGCACCAGATGCTAACAACAACCCACGTAACTCTCTCTGTCTCTCTCTCTATATATTTGTCTGTCTCTCTCTCAGTCTCTCAAAGTCCGACAGGAAAGAGCTCTCCCTCTCCTTATTGTTGAAACAGCTACTAATCTCCGTTAGCTCCGAGCTAACAACAACCCCCTATCTCTCTTTCTATCTCTCTCTCACAAGATGCGCTCGTGCCACACACACACAGACGCTCCTCCTTGACGATGACCGCTTGCGTAAAAAATAAATAATAAACACATTTAAAAAGTGGGGGGGACACAAATGGGATTTTGAAAAGTGGGGGGGACATGTCCCCCCTGTCCCCAGTGGAAATTACGCCCATGCCTCCACCCCTCGAAAGTTATCGCTGACTCAGCCATGTTTATGCAGCACTGCACGTGGAGATGTGGACGCGCAAATCGCGCAGATTACGTACATATAAACCTGCGGCGGAAACCCCTCTTGTCTGTCAGTGTGATTATGACTGATTTTATAAAAGTAACGAAGTAACGCGTGTCGGGGCAATGTTAGTAACTGTAGTGTGATTACTGAATTATAAAAGGCGTTACACTACTCCGTTACCGACAAAGTAACGCGTTACACCCAACTCTGGTAGTCTGCTACATTCATTGTAGCTGGCATAAAAAAAATGTTTTTCCGAGCAAACTCATGTCTAGCTCTTAGTAGCCTTGTTGTTTGCTCGGTAGCATACACGCTACGCCAGCTATAATGTAATTACGTTTCGCGACTGACCGTACGGCAAATCACCCGGAATACTGTCTGAGTATTTGGTGTGTGAATGCAGACATTCTCCTGCTATGAGATACATGTATGTAAGGCCATCTGCTGATATTAGAGTTGATATGGAAACGCTAGCAACTTAGTTAGCACAGTTAGCACTGGCTGAGCAGTCCGAAACATGTTTACACATTTAAACAGTCGTGGTAGATACCTTGTTTGATAAATACACAAATAACAATGCAAACTTACAGGTTGTGCACCCGAATCTTCCCCTGCTCCAAACGGTCCAAACAAACTAGGAATAGCATTGTCCTTCAGTTTCAAATGCTGTGCATATCCGGCCTGAAACTGGGCAATGTTTTGGAAGCTTTCGTCTGTGAAATGCCAGTTCTTCGAACCTCTGAAGGAACAGTGTTAAAAATAAATTTCAACCACTGACTTCGTCGTGGTTCTTCTGTCGGTAGGACAAACAGCTCAGATTTCTCCTCACATTTCAGGAAACAGGTTCTCGGCATTGGCATGACTGGATCGATTGTGAACTGAACCAGAGCTTCCAACAGTAAATGTTAGTCTGGGTGTGGCCATAGCTCTTCGGGATTGGTCCATTTCGTTCCGGGTACCGCATGACATCATGCCGTACCCGGAACTACATGGAAGACTCAAATGGGCAGTGACGTATCTCCAACGAGGCGTTTTGGGGAGGTATTTTCTGCGTTAGAGTTGTACTCGCTACAGGGTGTACTTTGAGGGTTTTGACTCTGCACACCGTTTACATGCATAAAAACCTTCATAACACACAAGGGGACGGGTAATAACCGGAAAAGCATGACATGGGAGCTTTAAATTAAAAAATGTTTTGCTTGTACTGGTATTCTAATGTTTATCCTTGCTCTGAACTGTCTTTATTTTTAATAAGTAGAGACAGAGTAATGTTTTTATTGTTTGTTGATTGTCATGTCAGTACCTGCCCAGGGACTGCAGATGAAAATTAGCTTGTAGCTACATCTGGCATCCTCTCTTTTGAGCATAATGTTTTCATGCCAAGTCATGTTTCAAGGCGCCCTATTATGCTGATTTCTCAGGTGTCATATTTGTATTTTGTGTCTCTACTGTGACATGTTTACATGCTTTAATGTTCAAACATTTTTCTCAGACTGCCTGTGCTGCAGCACCTTTTTTCACCCTCTGTCTGAAACCAGAGCCCAGTCTGCTCTGATTGGTTAGCTGGCCGGCTCTGTAGCTGTTGGTCAACCACTTTTAGAGATGTACAATGTGTTGGAGTGCTATTTATAATAAAATAGCGTAGCTCTTGCAATCCTATTCAATTGATCAATAAGTTATGTTAAAATATGACTTTGTATTCATGCTAAAATAATATTGAATTAATACATTACATTTCAATATATAGTGAATTATTTATTTTAATCTTGGTAATATTTTGAGATGATATTACCATACTGTTTTATAATTTATCCATTTACCCATGTTTATATTAACATAAAATCTTGGGAGGTCAAGTAAATGTATCTGTACTTTGAACCAATTGTCACCTTAACTCCAAAAACTCTCTACTCTTTGGAGGCCCTCAGAAAATAAAACGTAAATATACTTGTCATCCCCAAATACTTTCATGCCCTTATACCCAGTTTCAACAGAAACTGCGTTAAATTAAGGAAGTACATTTTAGGAAGTCTTCATGCCATCTTTCATAAGTTCCTTCAAATGCAATAAAGAGTAGCCATGCACTTGTTTTTGATTGTTATTTGCAGATATACAATGTCCTCTGTTACAACACAATTTAAATAAGAAAATAGCTTGTTTTACATTAAAACAACAATTTAACAATCAGCAGCAATGTCTTCTTTGCACATAATGAACTGAACTTTATAGTAAAACGAGTTCATGTGAGTTTACATATTTGCTGTGACGGGGTGTGTCTCTGTGGAAGTGGCTCAGCAGTTCCAAAGAAGAGCAATGAGGAAGTCATTTCACAATCCTGAATAACACATGCTCATTATGATTGTGATTATGATAAAACAAAGGGTTAACTTCATTTTCCTTAAAAGGCTTGGCTGTAATATCACAATTGGGGACATATACTATTTTCTTATGATGAGCGCTCTGGCCAAATCAAGCTCAGCGAAGTTGAAGTAATCTGCCGGAAATGACTCGTCTGTATGTTTCACAAGTCTTACTTACGATACAGACTGGGTGGTTAAGCAAGCTTTACACAAGCTTTATACAACATCTATGGAAAACATGTCCGATGAACCGAGTAACAAAAAAATGACGTTAGATACGGATAAGTGAGCTGTTTGTTCAAGCATTGGATCAAGCGCGCCTTTAAAACTAAAAACAAGTATATTCTGTTTTTGATACACTTTACATGAATGTTTCTTATGTACAAAATTGGATATTTAACTAAATCAATCATACACAGTTGCAAGGTATTTACAAATTATCAATATCAACTGCTCTTAAGGTGCAATGTTTTTTCATTTTTTTTCATTTGCAGCCTTTAAAATAGTAATATAAAAACTTAAACTTGAGTATTTCCTAAGGGCTTGAACGCCATTCAAAGTCTGTAACATCCTCCCTCTCCCTTGTGCTCTACATTTTATCAAAAATGCCTCAATATAATTTAAACAAGGACGAAGTTAACACAAAAAATGAATGCATAAAAAGTCCGAGCTAAACACTGTGATAGCCGCTGTCTGTGATGATTGGCATTGACTGGTCAGCAGGGATCACAGAGAGAAACTGTGTTTGGAGCGTGGAGGGACACTGGACATTGTTAATGAAACCTGAAGCAAGGGGTCCTAAGAAGCTTTGAGGCATCTTGGGGAATGATTCCTCTGGATATGTGTTTACATGTTCCTCTTTCTCACCTCTTTTCTCCTCTGTAAACAAATGACCAGGCTGCTCCACCAGACTCTGAAATGGCTGGTAGTCGTCGTATACTGGAAGGAGGCTCTGCAAGCCTGCAGGCACACCGCCGTAGAAGGGGTTTTCATCACATATTATCACCCCTTCTGTTTTTTCAAGTAGCTTTGTTGCATCATGGACGGCCTCATCAAAGCCCTCACCGTCAGATTTAACTCCGGACACATGATCGCATGACGCATTTGTGTTGGTTCCACTAGACCCTGAGGACAAACTGGAGTCTTCAGCATGCGAAACACCCCAAGAATCTGCATTGTTCTGCTGGTATGACATGTCGATTGGCATAAGAGCTGAATCCCCTGGTGGTAACTTAAAAAGTGGACAAGCCAGTGCCTGTTGGTCAACACGGGGTACAATGTCCCCCGAACTATGAAGGTATTCAGAGTCACAAAGAATTTCAGCCTTGACATCAGAGCCATCGAAGTTGGGAAGTAGGCTGCAATAGGTTTGATTGTCAAAGCAATATGATCCAATACTTGTGTCATCAGCTCTGACACCAAAGGGTTTGTAGGGAGAGGAGGGCAAACCAAAGTTTTTGTTTGGTTCTGTGAGCAGATTGGTAGTCAAAGGTGACATCGGGCGTATATCAGGGAAGGCCAAACAAAGGGCATCCTGAACTCTGGCTATAATGTCAGTGGGTTCTACCTTAGCATAACTAAGACAAGAAGAGCCAGTGCTGATTCCATTGCTTTGCTGAGGGCTCCCACTGCTTATGTCTTTCATTGAACCCTCCGACCTGAATACAGAGAAATGGGTTACTTAAACTGCCAATATAACCATAGAAATCTTGAAGGAAATGTTGCTATTGCAGCCACACTAACCATGTGCTGTCCTCTGGATCGGGGGAGTCTACCCAGACAGAGGAGAGGATCGGCGGGGCAGGCTTCAAGACCTGAAACAAGGATGATAAAAGCAATTAAAAATATAGATATGGAACATTTCTGATCGAGCTTTATCTGTTAACTTTGCAGCCAAATATACTTAATGGTTCCTTCACCTTTTTAAACGTGAAATTAAAGCCATTTTGAAGTCTTTCAAGGTGAATTTTCAAGCTTTTTCAGCACCTTTCTGCTATTGTTAAATACAAATGTATATACAGTAAATACAGTATACTGATTAGTGCACTTCTTTATGACTTAAAATCCTGTGATTTAAACATCCACAATTGTTTTTTGTGACATCATTCTAAAAAGGGTGAAAAGATAAATTCACCTGATACTACAATAATCCATTGAAAAACCTTTTGTTGCAATTGTTTTGGGGTCAAACCATATTTGCAGCTGACTAAAAGAAAAACTCTAATTCAAGCTTTTTTCCAACCTTGAAAACACCACATAAACTGCTACTCCTATATTGCCATTGCCAAGATTTCCAGCACATGTAGGTAAACTTTACATTATTTAAATAATGAGTAATTTAATAATAATTGCAACTGCCATCAGATTTCACAGAATGAGTAACGGATGGTAGTGTTTTCAGATTTCAGATTTTGGCACAGATCACTTTGTAACTCACCTCTTGCTCACTTGAATGCAAAAGCAGTAGTTTTGGATTTGGACATTTGGCAACTATGTCCGACCACTTTGTTTTGAGCCTAAAATTGCACAAACAAATAAACACATCACAAACATGACACAACACAACAAGAATTACAGTGTTAGGCTTTCAAAAAACTTACAACAACACAATATCTTTTTTTCTGTATGACTTACTTTATATAACAGCCATACATAGCAACGCTGATGAGGACAGCAGCAACACTGAGGCTGATGATGAGGGCCACGGCCGGGAGAGTTTTGTCCTTGTTCACAGCTACTGTATGAGAAAAAGTGTTTGAAGTTTAGATATGACTTCATATGTGTACAGATTACATGCAGCAGAGAGATAAACTAAAGAGGCTCTTGTTCGCCTGTAAATCTGCCCTGGCCGTGTGTTTGTTGTGACAGTGGGGAGATTCAACTGTTAATACCCAGCAGCTGTAAGCATTATCACATCTTTAAAGTGCCTTATTATTCAAGACTTATTTCTGTTTCAGTGACTGCATCTCATTACAGAAATGCTAATGGCCTTGTTGAAAGCTGAAAGTACAATGGTAGAGCGTAGCATCTCTGACTGCCACTGGGTGTAGAGAATGTGGGTGGGTGCAATTACATTAGTGTGCTCGATATTATAGTGGAACAACACAGAAGAAAACACAGAGTAAGTAGAGTCCAGTTTGGCTAATAAATCCATGAGATATCACACAAAAAGCACTGCACAGCTGTTTAAACGCCTTGCTTTTCATATCAATGAGACCAGTTTGCAGTGGGGGCCCAAAGTGGACGGCTTCTTCGATAAAAGTTGACCCTTTTTTTTTGGAGTGCAAAGCAATACAACTCTGACGCACAATACCAAAATAGGACATGCAAGAGCACATCCCTGGTAGAATACTCTGTGAGATTGTTAAAGGGAAAATAGCTGGCAGATCCTGGGGAAAACCCAAGACAAGGAAGGCATTCTGTTTTCACATATCAGTGTCATGAAAAAAATATATACAACAACAATGAATTCCGACATAAGCATCACAGTCATGGAAATCTCAGAAAGACGATTTTCCTTTTTGACAATGTGAGCTGATGTTAAAACCAACAAATATCTAATGTAACAGATGTAGCTGCTGTGTGCTTGAGTAGCAGTTTGGTAGCACCCTTGCTGGAGTAAAAGCTGTTGTGGTTCAAGTGACTTTTTTGGTGGATGCGCTATAAATCATACCCATTCTTTCATACTTCAAACTGCATTTAAATACGTAAAATTGCATCATAACAACAATATGTTCATTATTTCGGAACATATTTCAATAAACATAAAATACAGGTTCCAGTTGAGATTGTGAAGGTTTAAGAGTCCAAGATTTCAAATTACAAGTCAAATCCAGCCTAGATAAATCACATATTTCACCTAACAAAATAAATATGAATATGCTGAAGGTATCACGTCTAAGAAATATGAGGTTTAATCAGGCTTATAAAGAAATGACAACACTTACGGGTTGTGAATTCCCCCTCCTTACTGCTGTCGCTGAACTTGTTATTCGTGACGCTTTTCACGCTGACTTCATATTTCGTATTTGGCTCCAAGGGTCCACCAAGTATCTCATAGTAATAGTCTCCATCAAGTTGACTTGGTTTGAAAGATTTAGAATGCTGCTAAGGAGAAATAAGGAAGACAAAAAAAAGATAGCTTTTATAGTTCCTTTAACTAAACAGCAACCTGACATAATTAAAATACCACAGGAAAGTCTACGTCTCCAGGGAAAATGTTCGCCTATGCAGTCCATATGACATTGCTCCTACCTCTTCTTTGTCTCCTTTTTTATGGTAAGTCACTATAGCATTCAAGCTGTTACTGAACCAACTTGTGTGATCATAGTTTGTCTTCCACTTGACTTGAAAATTCCCATTGGATTCTTTCACAGAGACGATTGTTGGGGTTTTGGGCTTTACTGTTGAAGAATAGAGATAAGAAAAGTAAGGGTAGGTTATTTCCCATCCTCAACCCAGTTTAACATTCATTCACTGCTTTTCTGAATCAGTATATTTTTGAGAGGTACAGATTAGATTTATGGGAAATCTACTTACTGGTTTCTATGACGTTAATGATTTTGGACTCCATGGTTTTGTTTCTTTTCCAAACTGTCGCTGTATGAGTCTCCCCCTTTACTAGCGTCATTTGAATAGAGCAACAACACGGTCCAGCATCACACTGTTCGAAAGCGCACCGATTCTGCCTGTGGAATACAACATAACATACATTATGTTCTGAACCTAAATGGGCCCCAAAAAGTGGCATATTATACAGGATTTTATTTATCTATGAAAAATGTAAATTGCCAATTGTAAAGAATAGATTATTATTTTTGGACAAACACTTTTAAATCTGACAAGAAAGGGCAATGTGAAGACCTGATCACAAGCTATATTAAGAAAGCTTCTTCCTGCATTAGAGAATTAGGCAGTTTAAACCCACAAAGCTAATAGAATATTGATCAAGCATCAGGAAGAATAAACACTGACTTTGTCAAATAAAATAAGCCTATCTAGCATGTATGATTGTTGCAAAAACATTAAATAAAAGCTTCAAAAAATAAGAGTAAAACAGATGCTGAGGCAATATTTAAAAGATGTCACACTCATTTCACATTAGTCTGGAGCAGAGGTGGGAAGTAAGTACATTTACTCAAGTCCTGTACTTAAGTATAATGTTGAGATACTTGTACTTTACTTGAGTATTCCCATATGCTACTTTGTACTTATACCCCACTACAGGGGGTAAATATTGTACTTTTACTCCACTACATTAATTTAATACCTTTAGTTACTTTGCAGATTTGGATTAATTATGTAAAATATAATCAACACTTAAATCAAACTTTAGTTACACCTGGAGTAAATTCACAAGCTACCATGCCGTTTACAAAGTGATTAAAACTAGCTGCCCCTTTACCAGCTTTGATAACACTTTAATGCATCAATAATTATAATCAAAACGTAAAATATATATTATTCTAAAATTGACCTCTCTGCATAATGAGTACTTTAAGTATATGTTGATGATAATATTTTTCTACTTTTACTTGAGTAACATTTGATTGCAGGACTTTTACTTGTAACAGAGTATTCCTACACTCTGGTACTTTTTTTTACTCAAGTACAAGACCTGAGTACTTCTCCCACCTCTGGTCAGGGGTCGTTAGTTTAATCAATAATAAGGTGTCCTTTAAGGAAGAGGGTTGGGAACCACTGCCGATTGAATCTTGAATCGTAATCGGCACTATTGATATTGCTCATAAACCGATAGTGTAAATAAATGAACTAGCTTTGTAGTAGAACCCTATTACATTGCAGGGGTGAACAATTAAAAACATCATCTCACTTGTTCTTCCAGGAGTCGTTTTGTAGAATCATACGGTATTCAGTGCAGTTTTGAGCTTCAAGTTGGCAAAACATAAATTCATCGTAGTCGTTGGTACAGTTAAGAGTCAGTCCTGAAACATACATAAACACCAATACATTAATTATGAGAACGATGTATTGCATATAGAATATAAAACACTGTCCAATATACGTACCAGAGAGAGCTGTTGCAATATTCCCTAAAATGAACAGGACGAAAGGCATCCTGTCGCGAGCTCGCCTGAATCAAACACAATAGCAGCGTTATTTTAATGATAGGATTATTGAAGTAACAACTTCTTAAAGTCCACATTACCTGGTTGGCTCCATTTAGAAACGATGTATTCCACTTCTATTTCAAAAACACTAAACCAACTCAGCAGCACCGACCCATTTCGTGGGAACGTGCTGCGTGTTTTGCATGTACTGTAATGAGTCTCAAAGGCTTCCTGATATGGAAAGCTGTTACGGGAAATGTTGCGCCATGATTCAGAGGAAATTCATCCCCACTCCCATTTCCTCGAAGAGTTGACAGTGAGCAACTCACTCTCTTCGGACGACATCTGATTTATGTGGTATAGGACTACTTTAAATGGAGCATTCATTGGTATTTGATGTGTTTTACCGAGGAGAAGTTAGTTTTATGGGTAGGATATTGGACAAACATTCACTCCGGTCTTTTTACTAAGGATCACAGACTGTCTGCAGTGGAGGATTAGTTCATAACCGATCCCTCGCTCCTACACACAGTGTTTTACATATGATAGGGATCATGCATATATTACAGTTTAAATGTAATAAAACCACTATTATTTTAAATATCTTCGTGCTCATTAATAGTTAACTTTTGTTCTCACAGCTCCCATGTGATCCAGTGACTCCAAATCCGTATCAGATATCAGACGCACCTCTTTTTTTATTTTTAGCCCAAAGTCTATTTGATTTGAACAAAAAAACACACTTTTTGTATTTATTTTGTATTTAAACTATATTTCCGAAAGCTTATATCTTGTGCTCCATAGACTCCAAATCAATGCTGGGATTAATATGTGTAAGGTTTTTATTGCATGCTTACATTATTTACTGCATGGGTGAATGTATAGTTTTGTATGCTTCAGTTGCTAGTTTCGAAAATGGATAGTTTATTAAATTGACAGATTGCTCCACTCAAACAGAAAACACTCTACACTACTAATTGTTTTACCTTGAGAATGATTAGATTAGATGCCCTAAACGTTTGATAAGAAAAGCTTCACATGTGGCAAAAAGTGTAAAAGTGTTTTACTAATGAACAATTATGAAACCCCTGACAGGCAGAGACAGGCCTACTGTATTGACTGCGAACGAGGAAACGCATAGGACACACTCCGCCATCTAGTGGACGTTGTATGAGTGTGTTCACATGCAATAAAAAGTTACATTTATCTGTTTGACCTGTAGTGTTGGAATTTAACAAAGTACATTTCCTCAACTTGTGGGCAAAATCAAACCAAAACCAGATAGACCAGAGGGACCAGAAAGCTGTTTAAATGACTTGACATTCATACATTTTCTTTTCTTTTCTGCCTTTAGTAATAGAAAACAGGGACAAACAATTCATATTTGTTCCAGAACAAAAATCGCCACCTGGTAATGAACCAGTGCTGCTCTATTTTCAATATACAATATGTCCCAAAGGCCAAGGCCAACAAGATGCTCTGACACTTTTGAATGCTCGCCAATCCAATTTTGAATTACTGCTCCACTTCTGCTTGTCTGCTGCTACCGTGTGTGTTTTTTCAAGGGTGTTAATGTACGGGATAAGGTTGTACAGTGTCATGCCAAATAATTAAAAATGGCAGTCAACACATATCATGACTACAATGTTCTGGATGTGAGAGTAAAATAGAGAGTGTGAGATGAAGATGATGTTACATTTGTAAAAATGGAACTGGGACAAGAGATAAACAGCTGGAGCTTTGTACTGGAAGTGTTACAAAGCAGGGTTGGTAGTATGTAGTCAGCTGGGTATAGCACGATGTGTTGACGTGCTTGTTTTAGCATCCTATGCAGTGTATTTTCTATCTGAGGTGCCATATGTACATTTTTAGCATTGGATCTTATGATCTTTGAGGACTAATAAGGTACACTATTTTGTCATGATATTTCATCAATGTTTACTTTGGGTTTCAATTCAGAAAGTCAGTTGAAATGTATCAAATAAAGACATTAGGACACGTTTTTATCATACATGCTTCTAGGGATGGCTCTGGTGATCAATTGGCTCGTCCCTTTCGTCCATCTGTGCAATTGTACAATATATTTCCTTGACGTATTGGTACAGAAATGCATGGTGCCCAGGGGATGAATCTTATGACTCTGAGGTTCTCCTAATTTTTACACTAATACCTACAATATAGTTTAGAGTGATATATCCCTTATCTTTTGGGTGTGTGACCATGCATGCACTTTGTTGTAGAAATAGTTATTTGCATCTCTAATGATTGCCTGACTACTCTTCGAGTGCCATCCTTAGGTCAACATTTCAATTTGCCCAGTATTTCAGTTTTTCTATCAAAGAAATACATTTTAGTAATACTGTGCGCTAAACACAGATATATGCTTACTTGACTTAAGACTTCTAGGCATGTTTCTCCCTAGTTAATTTTGTGTTTATATTCCCTTGTGCTGTTCTCGAAGGTCATACAGAATGTTCGGAGTACTCAACAACATCAAACACATTTAGCGTGTGTGTGTGTGTGTGTGTGTGTGTGTGTGTGTGTGTGTGTGTGTGTGTGTGTGTGTGTGTGTGTGTGTGTGTGTGTGTGTGTGTGTGTGTGTGTGTGTGTGTGTGTGTGTGTGTGTGTGTGTGTGTGTGTGTGTATGCCAGAGAATGCTGGCTTCAGTTGCTTCAATAATAAAATATAATTAAATATAACCTTGAGTGTCAGTTCATGTGCTTTGATATACAAAGTGCTGATTGTACAATGTCCCCATTGGGATTTTATAAGATTTGAATGTAAGAGCTGACCTATGATGTAGTGCGTGAAGAAAATAACGCCTCACACCTCAGTGTGCAACTAGTACAGTACAGTACGTGAGCTTTGTCACATATCACTCTATGAATGGTGTCACTCAAAGCCACCATTGTTGAGCACACGTGTTTGGGTGTGCGTGTCAGTCATTATTGCTTAATAATAGTATATTATTTTTGTTTTACTGAGGGACAGGGGTGGGCAGTGACATCCACATGCGGAGCAGCAGGAATCAAACCCTGTATGTTGCAGTACAATTACGTATTCTTTACCACCTACATTATAACCCAGCATCTCACTACATGTTCAAATAGCTAAAGCACTATAGCAGATACTAGTACAATGATAACACTATAGTGTGTTGCATTTACAACTATGGTCAACATAAAGCAAAAATAGTGGTTGTGAATTCTATTCCATTTCAGTATTAAACTTTAGAACTACATTGAGTTGAGTCTCTTAAATTATTTTTATTTTAATGATACAGCATTTTAATTTGGTACCAAATTAGGTCAGTTGTGTGCTGAGTTATTATTTTGATATATATATATATATATGGAATGTAATGTGTAATGGTTCACTATGTGATGTGTGCTGCAGTAGCATTTCCATTGCACAGTTGCCAAGGAGAATGTACTACTGAGCAGTGGAGAGCGAACGTGTGGTGGTAACATTAGAGTGCTGTAGAGATGGCGTGACGTGACAAGCACATGGTGTGGAAGGGTGGAGAAATGGCTTAGTATGGAGTTGTCAACAAAGCGTAGGCCAGGGGCCGGCTCCAAGTCCTGACACTGGAGGAGCGTCCTGTGTAGAAGTAAAGAACATAGAACTGTTTGGATCACAGATTTCTTCTTCAGTGCATCTGCAATGGCATGTGTGTAACTCTAACGATGCAGTGGCAGACTCCAGTGGTAAATCAAAGCTGACAATTTAAAGCTTTGATAACAGATTCAGTTTTTTATGCTTTGTCAACAGTGGGTTGATGGATTTAAAGTTCAAGCTCACTGCGTATTACAGATAAACTGACCATGACCTCTGACCTCCCTGCAGGAGATAAACCAGGAAGCTGTTTAAGATAATTAAGTCATTTTTTGATTAAGCATGTATGACAGGCTCTGTTATGTTATTATTTTTTTTCAAAACTAAATTAATTTTGATGTTTTTTTTAAATCGCTTCCCTGTTACTAACAAAAAACAACATTGGCCATTAAATATATATATATAAAGAGTTTTGCCCATTTTATACTAATGCACCAGTGATTACAATGGTCTGGCCTCCTAGAAGCAATATATATGCATTTTTCTTGTTGTTCTGAGTTTGTATCTTTATGGGTTTTTTTGCACTAATTGTAATTGGCTTTCATAAATGTGTCAGCTACATGAAATGTATTGTTATGTAATATTCTGTGTAATGTAATCGTGATGGGATTGGAAATATTGGCTCTGTGTGCTACAGTTCTGTGGTTTCCTGTTGGTTTTCTGGGGGCTGGTCTCAGTCCCCCTCCATATTGGGTCATGGAGATTGTGACGTTAGACTCCATAACTCCTTATCGGCACCTGACCCTCCGCGTCACACTGAGCTTCCAATATGAAAGCCATGTGATTATTTTCCGAATGAGACCGTGTGCGTATATAGTAGACTGGGAGTATATAGCCTCCATAGAGGTTATTTTCCTCATTCAACTGCAAGCAATAGCTGAGAGCACACAGAGAGCTTTGCTGGAGGTTTGTTGCTCCTCTTCCCATATAACATGCAGGTAAGAAGACTTTCATTTATGCATGTCTTTATTACTTTTATGACTTATCTGACTTTTACTAAAAAGTGTGCCAATAAATTGTCATAATGTTTTTTGGGGAAATATATATATTTTTGAAATTAGTTATTTATTATACGATTGTAAACATTTATTGAAAGTTATGCTTATTGAAAACCTAAAAAAATGAATGTCTCCAAGTGATTTAAGGTGTTTTGAAAGACTACTAGCGCGCTTGTTCAAGGAGTTGTGAGCAAGTTATGTTCATGTGGAAGAAATAAGAACATAAGGCTTTAAGTGGGATCATACAGTGCCTTCCAAAGTCTTAACACCTGTTTAAGCTTTGAGTGGCACGCCGTGTTGCATGAGAAGTCAGAGACTGTAAAGCAGTCAGAGAAAAAACTAAGTCTCATCATAACACAGGAAAGAATCAAGTTTATTTGAGCTTTTTCTGTGCCATTCTCCTGTTTAATGTTTTCATCTAAGCTGCAACAACCACTGCGCTCTGTACTCTGCAGGCGGCACCCTGTGCCTGGGGAGCCAGTATGCACGCAGCATCGCTGTTAACAAGTCTGAACCTCCAAAGAGAACAAGGTCAGTTCTGTGATGTCGTGCTCAGACCAAAACAGGACCCGGGTGAACTCTACCCGGCACACAGGTGAGCAACATAAACAGACAAACAAATA